TTTTTTTTTTTTTTTCTCCTTCCCAACGTTGATCGTCGGGACTATCGATTAGATTAGAAGTGTAATATTGCTTGCGCAGCGCTATAGAGGGGACTTCATCTCGCGATACGTACGATACGACATCGTCTTACGTGCTTTCGTTCTTTTATGTCGCGATATTGTTAATTATTTACAAAAAAAAAAATCCTCACGTATCGTACACATATAATATATAATTATGTATGCGAGCATCGAAATGATGGGATTAATTTTTTTTTTTCTTTCTCTTTTTCGTAAGATGATTTTCTTCAGGATTGTTAGGGGGGAGGAGGAGGGGGAGGGGACGAAACGACGTTTAAAAAATCAGTCTTCGTAGGAGAGATTCGAATGTTTTAAAAAGGGGTCGTTTACATCGTTGTTCGGTTTGCGTAAATGGTCGATAAAAGTCGGTATTTTTCTTTTCTTTTCTTTCTTTCTTTCCTCCCTTGCTCATTTAGAAAAACAGGACAACAAGTTTTCGCGTCGTTTTCGCGTCTCGCGAACAATATCCTCGAACAAGTCCTTTCGAACAATCTTCGAATATTTGGCACGTGTTTTCACGGTTTCGTCTCTCATTGTCTCACATCCGTTCATTCCCGATTAACAGACGACGCGCGTCACGATATGAACGACTAATAAACCGATTTTGGATTTCGTTAAAAAAACCTACTTTCGCATCAGTTTTTTTTTTTTTTGGCACTTCTCTTAATTGCTTTTCTCTTCCTCACTCGCGTCCCCATGGTGGATGGAACGCTTTCGCTTCGAAAACAAAAATCCCTTCTAAAACTGAGCAATCTATTTCCCCGCGCGAAATTGTACCCGCGCACCGGGACGAGAAACTGGCGACGATCCATATCGAAACTGTTCATCCTTCCACCAGCCACCTTCCGTAGTCAGTCCTTCCCCTGATCGATCGTGGCTAGCCGAAGATACCTGCTGCGCACCTAGGCGAGTTCTTCATCTCGATGGCGCGGCGGTCGGCCTCTTTTCGAGACTCGATCGGCTTGTGCTACGAGTTCAACGGGGTGGTCCCGATATTACTGATGAAACTGGGACACGCGTTGTCGGCTCTGTCTCCGCTTTGCAACGAGAAATGCCTGTAGGACATGTACGCTTGCGGATTGGACGAAAGCGGTTGATCCCTCTTCTCGGTCGACCTTTGCTTCTTCATCTTCATGTAGCCCAACACCGAGATGAGCACGACGAACACCACGAAGCCCATGCAACTGCCCACTATCAGGCCCAGCCTTCTGGTCAGGATGTTGGCCAGGCCGCCCCTGTCGCTCATCGTCCCGTCGCCCACGATCGAGTCGGGCGCGTCCAGGGTTCTGACTTCCGTGCATTGACTGGTGAGCGAATTGACCATCGCGGGCCTGGCCGAGCCCTCGATCACGTCGTCGTGAGAGGCGTTCCATTGCCAGGAGCCGATGTCCTCGGGGATCGACGTGCCCCAACTGCCCAGCCCGAGCACGCAGATCAAGTACCTCGTGTCCGAGGCCAACTTCGTCAATCTTACCGAACGTGCCTTTGGATCGAGCAGCTTCCCTCGTACCTGAAAATTTCATCCCGTCGAATTATTTAAAAGGTTCTTGATGCGAGAGGAGGAAAGAGAAGGAGGAGGAGGAGGAGGAGGAGGATGGGTCGTTTAGCCTCTTCGAAGGGGCTATTGATTTTTAGTGGGACATCGATTCGAGAATAAACGTAAAACTTAAGAATTTCTTTGTTTATTTGTTTGTGAGCAATTTAAGTTTACGGCTGATGCAAACTTAATAACCGATATTTTTGTACGGACCAATTTTTCGTGTTTCTTTTTCTCCGAATATCCTCTCTATAATACTTTCGAGAAACGGATGAGTGATGACGTAGATCTCGTCGGTTAGCGAATGAAAATTGAAATGTAGCAGGAGTATATCTTGGAAAAGTAGTAATATATCGCAGAAATTGTGTGTATATCTCACGAATATATGTGAGGGGAGGAATTCGAATGTCCACGCGTGATCTATCGGGAATATTATACGAGCTGGAGGCTCTCGTAGTGGAGTTAACCGGCGAATCTATTCATGGAGAGGAGAAGGTACGAAGGTACTTGGTGGAGAAACGTACCTCGTCCACGTTGTCCAGCGCGTGATAGGCCACTTGGTAGCCGTGGAGACCCGAGTGGTTTCTGCTTTGCCAGGACACGAGGACCGAGAACGGTTGGATGTCTTGAATCGCGAGTTTCAGGATCAACGGGGCGGAGCAGAACTCGTGGGGATCGAGATCGAGGAAGACCAGGCCCTGCAATTCCGGCGGTTGCTGACACTTTAAAAGACCGTCCTCCACGTCACCGACCCCGACACCGTTTCTTCCGCGGCCACGACCGCCACCCACCCCGCTGACCAGCTTTTGGTGATCCCTCAGCCATTCCCACAGCTCTTGCGACTCGCAGCCACAGATCAACGGATTTTCTGCGAATATGGGAAAGATGAGATTAAAAGATGACGCGAAAGAATAGCGAGAGTTCGGAAATTTATTTCAGACTATCTCTTTTCTCCTTTTCCTATCTCTTCTGATATTTCTCTTTATTCTCGAGCAAACGTTAGAAGGGTTAATCGTGCGAATATGGAATTTATATCGCGTCGTAGAACGCGATCGGAGAGGAAGCATTAGTCGTCGAGAGAATCGATCGATCCGGTATACGTTGGCGCGCAATCCATTAAATTTGGAAATCTTTCGGGCGGAGAGGTCGATGGACATTATACCGTTAAAGGACTAGTTTGCAGACTTGAGAAGAGAGAGGATGAGAGGGAATGGTTGAGCGTGTTTGATTGTTCAGATGTTGAGTATCGATTCGAGACGATTGTACGTGACCAGCGATATGATTGGATCTCCAACACTAGTAACTCTATTTGGATCGATAGCTTGGATACGTGTAGAATTATATCCTCTCTGGTCGGAGAAGCGGAGAAATTATAATAGCCAAATGGATATATATATATATTTCTTTTTCTAACGATCTCGTCGTTTCAACGAATAAAATCGAAGATAATTTGACGCGAAGGTGGTCGATAAAGCGAGTTTAGTTACCTTCGGCGCGTAAACTCCGAATCTGGGTCTCGAGAGGTCTGAACGCGTTCAAGGGTAGGTTCTCCAAGTAATTTCTACTCAGATCCAACAATCGCAGCTTCTTGAGCGGTCTGAACGCCTCGCTGGAGATGGCGTTGATCCAATTACCATAAAGATGCAGCTCGACCAGGCTGACCAAGTTCTTGAACGTCACCTTGCCCACTATTCCGATCTGATTGTACGAGAGGTCCAATATCTGCAACGACTTCAAGTCCTCCGGAAACTCGTCCAGCTCTTTCAGCAGATTGTGCGTCAGATTCAGGATCCGCAAATGCTCCAACCCCTGTAGCCTCTCTTTCGGCAAGATGTCCAAGCTGTTCATTCCCAGATGGAGGGTTAAGAGGTTGGGCAAGCTTCTGAACGCACCCGGGGACACCCTCGACACGCTGTTCTGGCTCAGATACAAATGCAACAGGGCGGGGAACGCCTCGAAATCCTGAGACGTTACTATACTCAGATTCGTGCCCGATATGTGCACTTCTTGAAGAACGGGGTATTTCGCCTCCGAGGGAAGAACGTGGATCCTGTTCAACGGATTTCTGGTCAAATTTAACCAAGTCAGGCCGGGAAGATTCTGGCCGGACAACGCCACGGACGGGATTTGCCTGAATTTGTTCTCGGAGAGGTCCACTTTGCGAAGCATGGAAGAATGGGCGAAGAAATTGGCCGGGAGCGCGTTCAAATGGTTGTGGCTGAGATCGACGGAGATGAGGCAGGAGAGATTGGCCGTGGCGAAGCCGGACATGGTCTCGATTCGATTGTGGCTAAGGTCCAATTCTCTCAGGTGTTTAAGACTGGCGAAACTGGCCACGTCCACGTTCACGATTTGATTATTGGACAACGTGAGAATCTCGAGGTTGAGGGCATTAGCCAGGGCTGAATACGGTATATCCTGGAACCGATTGTAATCGAGACGGATCTCTCTGAGGGAGGCCAGCCTGTCGAAGATGCCTGGTGGCAAATTGCGTAGATCGTTTTTATTCAAATGCAACCGTGCCAAGTTCCGATTCAACACGAATATGACCTCGGGTAATTGAGAGATATGCGCTTTGTCCAGATACAATTCCTGCAGAGACGGTAGCCCGTTCAAGCTGTGCTCCGATATTTGGCTGAAGTTGTTCCCGGACGCGGCCAAGCTTCGAAGACCCGACACGCGCAGATTCAACAACGCGGAAACCGTCAAGTGATTGCCGTCCAGATTCAGATCGGATAGATTGTCGAGACCCTTGAAAGCTCCGCTCTCTATGCTTATGATGGAACAATTCTTAAATTCAGGCTCTTGATCGGCAAGCCCTCTTGAAAGATAGCGTCGTGAAGGACGGTGAGATGATTGTTCGCGAGATCCAATACCTTCAACTTCTTCAAAGCGGTCAAAGCGTAAGGATCCAACCGTCTGAGACCGTTGTCCTGCAAATATAATTCTTCCAATTCGTGCAACTCGGAGAACGTCCTCGCCGTCACGTGGCTGAGCTTGTTCATACTCAGCTCGAGAAATTTCAGCGCCTGCATAGGCTGAAAGGCGCCGTCCTCGATTCTGGATATCGAGTTGTTGGTCAAGTAGAGTCTCTCGACCAGCAGCAAATCCCTGAACAACGGCGCCTGGAGATGCGTCAATTTGTTATGGCCGAGCCACATGATTCTGACCGATGCCTGGCCACGAAGAGAGTCGTTGTGCAACACGGCCAGGCCGTTGCTGTCCAATTGAATGGAGACCAACGAGCTTCCACCGGACGAGGATTCCGAGGCGGACAGTTGGAACACGTCCCCCAGAACGGTGAGCTGATTTCCTTGGAGATTGACGTGTTGAAGACTGTTCAACGTTCTCAACGCCCCTGTCTCCATGTCGGTGATGGCGTTGTTTTGCAAATGGAGCTCGAGCAACGAGGGCAGGGGCGAGAAAACGTCCCGTTTCACCTCGGTGATGTTGTTGTCTTGCAACCGTAGCTCCCTGAGTTGATGCAGTTTCAAGAACGTGCCCGGTTGAAGCTCGTGGATCTTGTTCCCGTCCAGGGACAAAGAGGAAAGGTTCTCGCAGTGCTCGAGGAACTCTCGCGGCACCCTCTCGATGTAATTGTTGCTCAGGTGTAATTGGGCCAATTGGTTGAGGTCGGTCAAACCTCTCCCGTCGATCCTTCTGATCGCGTTCTGTTGTAGATAGACAACCGCGAGGCTCACGCTGCCGATGAACGCGTCGCCCGGGATCTCTAGAATATTGTTCTCCGCCAGATAAAGCTCTCGAAGCTCGGGCAGCCTGGCGAACACGCCGCCTATGTAATGGATGTGATTGTTGCTCAGCTCGATGTTTCGCAGTCTCTCGTTCCCTTTGAACGTGGCCACGTCGAGGAACACGATCTTGTTGTAGCTGAGATCGATCGACTCGAGCTCCTTCAGGGAAACGAACGCGTCCTTGTGGATCGTCTCTATCGAGTTGTAGTAGAAGGAGAGCGTGTGCAGGATCGGGCACGATCGTAGACAGTCCTCGGACAATTTCTCGAAATTGTTGCTGCTCAAGTCCAAGATCAAGAGGGAGCTGAGAAGGCTGTAGCTATCGTCCGGCAGCTCGGATATCTCGTTCCACGCGAGCCTCAGCGAGGCGAGGCTCTCTAATCTTCTCAACGGCGCCATGGGGAACATCCTCAGCTTGTTCTCGGTCAAGTCGAGATCGCTCAGGCTGTCCTCCAATCCCGCGAACGCGTACTCGGAGATCTTCGATATCTGATTACCCTTGAGAGTGAGCTTCATCAGTTTCAACCGTAAAAGCAATAGGAAGACAAGTCTTGTATCAAATTGGCCTCGAGGTCGAGGGCGGCCAATTTACGCAGATCGGCCAACGATTTCTGAGGCACGTGGAGCAAACGGCTGGAGAGCAGGGCCAACGATTCCAGGCTGTCCTTGAGATTCACGAACGCGCCCTCGCTAATTTCTCGAAGGGAGGAATGGGATATCTGTAGATGCCTGATCTGGGAACCGGCCGGAAAACTGCCCTCCTTCAGCTCCTCCACGCTTTTGTCCAACTCGTAAACGCTCAACGACTGCACCATCGTACCTGTTCCTGAAAATAATCGATCGTAATTTCGGCCTTTTAATTTCATTCAAAAAGTAAAATGGAAACCGATCTTAAATTAATCACCACTGCTTATCCAAATCATTATCTAAACTATCTCTCTGGACGAGCTTCCGTTATCCAAACAAGCATTTGTCGAGCATTTATATATATATACATACGAGTTTGCAACGTAACAGGAGGAAAACGAGATAATAATTAATTCGAGTTAGAAAATATCTGGGCTGGGAATATTATTACTGGTGAAATCTTGTCGCAACGTAACAAACACACAGAACAATCCAGTTATACGAATCCACCCTTTTGTATCCACCCAATCCACGTAAATCGAGTTTTCGTCATATCCGTATGAAACGTTTAATCGAAACGAACGTTACGCTTACGAACAAAGAAACGCGACGTCGTTTTTCATTGAATCAGAGAGGGATACGCGACCTCGTCAAGAAACGCGATTGTATTGTCGTGGACTAGTGGCCCGTTAAACGCTGATCGATCCGAATAACCAGGAAAACACGAGAGAACATTTTTATTATGATAACGATCTCTCTCGTTCCAACGTGTTTCCAAAAGTTTTCGAAAATGGAATTATCCTCTCTCGCCTATCCTATCATTGTTCTCGAGGGTGTTGGAGATTCTTGCACTCACCGGACACGCTCAGAACGCTTAACAGGGTGCTCCTCAGGGTGTCCTCGGTGGCGCCAGCGCATTCCAGGAAGAGGCCGTCGTCGAAATTGTAACAGGGGCAGCCGGGGATGGTTTCGGGGGGAGGGCACTCGGCTATCTGGCCCGCGGCCCCCCCCATACCGGCGAAATTTTGGATCAGCAGAAGGTGTAGGATCAGCTCGAGGGCGCGTCGCGTTCCCCGGTTGAAAAATTTTCTCCCTCGTTCGTCCCTCGAACACCTCCTGCTCCTCGTCATAGCTGACCTCCTCCCTCGTTCGTCAACCCGATCCTCTCCGTCCTCGTACTTCGAAACGCCCTCTGGAACGACAATGAATTCGGAAACAGTTCGAGATTTTACTTATTTATATCCATGTATTTATTTTCCACCCTTCTCAAGCAAAGATCGAGTTTCGAGTAGTTGAATGAAGATATATATATATATCTAAAAGCGTCGCTCGAAGAGGGGAAAAAAAAAAAAGGAAGAAAGGGAAAGGAAATTCTTCTTTGGAAAGAAGAGAGACGTTTGAAACGAGCTGTATATGGTGAATTATCGCGATCGATGCCTCGTTCCGGACGATAATGAACCAAGCCGATAATAAGAGTATCCCCGCCCCTATATACCTCTTTCACGATATTTTCTTCCCTTCCTCGTCCCTCTTATCCACCTTCGACGTCGTCATCGGGCTGGAAAATATTAAGAAGAGAGTCGGTAGAAAGGGACTACCATTACGATGCCCTCGTGTTCCTTCCCCCCTCTTTTAATTATAACGAGGCTGGATGCCCGCGCAACGAGACTGTGCGATTTAATAATCTTCTTGTTAGCTTAATGATAACGTCACTCCTTATCTGCTCGTTGACGTTTTCAGAAATTGCACACCCTCGCGAGGAGAGAGAGAGAGAGAGAGAGAGAGAGAGATATCCCTTGCCACTTCTTGTTATTCGCATCGGGAATTCGTTTTTAAGGAAAAAAACGATCCATTTTTTAATCGCTTCACGATCGCAATATTTCGATAGCGAAAACTTTTTCTCTAGGGATCGATGTCCCGAATACTTGGATACGCGAGACGGGGGATGATACAAGGGGATGAATCAAAAACCGGATAATTATAGGGAGCCGGCGAATCGACGCTTTTCTTTCTTGGCGTCTCGACGCTCTACTAATTAAACGCTAATTAGCTAATGCAGAGTGGATCGTGGGGACGGAAGAGAAAGAGAAAGAGAGGGAGGCGACGTGCGGTGTCTTAACACGCGTTTCCGCTTGCTCGATCCGATGTTAATAATTTTGCAAGGAAACATCCTATCAAGTGGATCGTTTAAATGGTCACCCGCGGCGGCATTGCCGATGATTCCTAATGAGCACCCGTCTGTGTGACGTCCGGCCTTTCCGATGTAAACCGGAAACGCATTATTCGCTCGCACGTTTCCTAGTTCCTCTCCTTCGTCCTTTCCTCTCGCTCGATGGATTCTTCTTCTTCTTCTTCTTCTTCTTTTATATTCGTATGCGCAGATTAAAATAAGTGGAAAGAGTGGAAAAGTTTCGTTTCATTTTTAATAGGATTCTCTGGCGTTAATTGTAATTGAAATATGAATTGTTGGACGATTTTAATACCATCGTATTTATTAATTATTTCAATTCAAGAAACGACACGAACGATGTGAGAATATTCTATCCTCGTTATTTTCAATTTTCAACGATGACTTTCGTTATTGACCTCACGCTTTCAACCTTTTGCTTCCATAGAATGGAAAATAAGAGGAAAAAGGAAAAGAGAGAGGTAGATCTCGTATCATATTTCGCTTAAGATACTTGCCGTTCCGTACATACATAAAACACGAACAAACGAACGACAACAATCCATTCTCTTTACAAACTAATTAATTAATTAATTTTCTAATCTCCGAATTCCCCTCTCTCTCCCACGAGATTAACCTCGATTCTTCGTTATTTCTCGATCATCGTTCATCGTCCATCATTCCCACCTCATCGATCAGCGAACAACAAAGTTTCTCCCTTGCTTGGATCTCCCGGCTAAATAATTTCTCGTTTTCGCGTTATAGATCGGCCTCCTCTCGTTAACGTATCGCAACACGAGAGACACACATTCAGCGGAATCTCCTCGTGCAACGATCGTGGAATTATGCATGCGTGGCCGCGGATTCACTCGCATCTGGTGCACCATGGATCATGGTCCGAACGACAGATGCATCGTGGTACCTGGCGGATGTCGAGAAGCCTTTCGCGGTATGCAAAAGGATTACGAAGGAGGAGAAGGAGCTCGTATCCAAGGTAATTTCCTTTGGATCGATGCTTGTGACACGATAATTGAATTTTTGAAAATGGGCGACGATTAGCTAACGATAACGTCGAGGGATCGTTGAGATTGATGATGCTCTCTTCGTTAATTCGGATTATTCTTCTATTGGATCGTGACGCGGAGGTATTTGGATTGATGAAATTTCGTTCGTAAATCCAAGCTCGTGCTTTCATCTCTTCTTTCAAATTTCTCCAAATTTTCGTATTTCGAATAAATTTTATCGAGCTGCTGCGTCTTTCGTCCCTGATTAAAATTGGATCGAATTCGTTTTTGATTTCGAAATTTCTCGATGGAAAAGTGTTTCCGGGTGTTTGAATCTTGGTTAATTTCTATTAAAAAAGAAAGGAAAGATACGAGAGCGAAAACGGTGAATTGGCGTTTGGTTTATGGACGGTACGCGCTAAAACGATACTTTCATAATAAAACGGGAATTTTCCAAGTTGCAGTTATAACGTTTAGACGTTCTCTACTTTCCAGCCAAGTTCTAATTGCAGGTTTAGAACAATCTGAGTACATACAAACTTACTAATTGATAAGTTTTCCGTAGGCGGCCGGGCAAGTTTAAAGTTTAAAGTGGCGATAACTTAAAATGTTCATGCGGTGGCTACAAGTTTACGTCTTAAAGTGGCGGCCATTTGGTTTAAGCCATCGGGGCTGTGTTGGCTGTTGAGTTTAAACTTACCTTCGTATTAACGAAAACTCTTGAAAAGCGAAAAAGCCTTCCTCTTCTTTTTCTTTTTCTTCTTCTTCTTCTTCTTCTTCTAGCCTCGCCTTATATCAGTCTCTTCGAGTTGAGAGGAAAAAAGAAAATAAAATAAATCAAGATCGAGTTTCCTTTCACGAAGTAAAGAGAGTCGAAGCGCGTATACATCCTTGTATATAATTACGCCAAAAAAGCGGGTAAATTTCGGCGGTAAAATATAGTGGCGCGAGATCCGTTCCTTTTTTTTTTTCACGATACCAAGTTTTCGACACGGTGCTAACCTAACCTAACCTAACAAAACCCAACCTTGCCTCGGCTTAAATGGCCTACCGGCGGGGGGTTGGTGCGGTCGAAACACAAAAAGCGCGGGAAACCATTCGCAGTTGCAGCCGCGTAAAAACCGCTTATTTCGCGGTTTGCCAAGCGGTTTACGTCGGGCAATTTCTTTCGCCGCGGCTCGACCTCCGCGGAGAATAAACAATAATCGCAACGGCAGGGATATCCCCCCGTTTCTTTTACATGCAGACACTTCAATTTAATTTGATTAAATAGATGTCGGGTGAATCAGCGATGCTGATTGTAATCGGACCGATTCTACCGATACTAATTGCAACGATTGCGCGATTGCATTTTCGATATACAGATTCTACGTGTTGTACCTTACGCTCGATCTATATAATTGCTTTGCCCAACACTGTGGAAACGGTATTGGAACACAGGCTATTGGACAGTATATGTTGCATGTGATAGATCCAATTCCGCACTACTGTGCTAGATTCGCGTCAAAAGTGGATGTGGTAGAGGTTCAATCATGTGCTAATTTTGGGCATATTTGTGTGTGCATTATCGATCGATTTATTTCTCGACATCTTTCCTCCCTATTTTTACCTTCGTCCGATTATTATTTCACGGGGAAAAGAGAAAAGAAAAAAATAATAAAAACTTCACTGCCGCTTGTCAAAATTATAAAATTTATTATTGGCGTAAATTAAATTAAAAAACGTGGGGGAAGAGATGGTTGAATTGAATCGAGACTCGCGGTAAAAGGGTCAATTTTCCGCCACGTGGAAAGAAATCAAATCTCTCTCTCTCTCTCTCTCTCTCGCGCCGCTATTAATATCCAACTTGAACAACTCGTACAGGAATTTTTCAATCCGACCGGTGTTCACACCACACCCCGACGAATTTCCGCTCTTATCAAAGCGGAGCTGCAAGCGGCAGGAAAACGATGATCGATGCAGCAGAACGAGGCGGATCAAAACTCGGTCCTCTACTTGCGAGCGGTCTGATGGAAGACAGCGCTCGGTGATCGTTCATGTCAGCGGATGCCTATTAGCGCGGACACGTTACCTCCATTTCCGGTACCCGGTAATAACATGGCGAATTCCTGTCTGCCTTGGGACATTATTTTGTCCGTGGTGGAGGGGCGACACAACGCCGCGCTTGTAATCCCATAAAAGCCTCGCGACGACGACGACGACGACGACGACGCTGTTTGCTCCCTCGACGGTGTAAAGGCCTCGTGTTTTTACACGCCCCCCTCCCTCTGTGCTTTCTTATACCGAGTTCTCCTCGTCGTGGCGACCCCGTTCTCGTCGGGCGATCATCGGCTGCATACGTAACGGCACAAAGGGCGCCGTGCAATTTTTTTTACAACCCGTTTTTCTGGGCGGGGATCCCCCTCGAGATTGTAACTCGATGAGAAAAAGGGGTCGCGTAACGTGGTGGAGTTTGATAGGGAGAATTGTAAGGATTGAAGGATCTGATTAGATGATTCCGTTTTGTGGCTGATTCGTTGATGGATCGAAAGATTGTGCGAATTTTTTTTGCGAGCGTGTCGAGAAGGTGGGGATGGCGCGAGATGTAACTTTGGAGAAACTTATTCTCGTTCGTTGGATTTGTTTTACTCGTTTTCGTTGGTTACGAACCAAGTTTGTCTTTGATTCAAATCGAAGGAATTGTCGCAGAGGGTTTCTTAAATTATTAGTTTTTTTTTTTTCTATCCATAGATTCTCTGATTATAACACCGACTCACAATTTCTGATGCGATTCATTGGAAATCGTGTGCGACGGATTTAAAAAAATCTTGATGGATAAATCCTGAATAGAGATCGGAGCCAACCGATAACGGGATGGAAAATTAATTGGTTGAAGTTTCGGGTAAAAAAATACTTTAACAGGTGGAATTCGATTTAAAATGCTCGAATAACATTTACTCGTGGCTGACTTGTTCTTCCATTGTCCGACGCCACAGTTAACTGCGGTTATTCCATGCTTTGAATA